CAGGTTGTTTGCCCAAGAAACCGCGCGGCGACGGTGCAGCGGCTGCCTTTGGGAGACCACGATCCCACCTGGCCACAGCCACTGGGCCACGGACTTGCCCTCTGGCGGCCGCGGGCTCTTTCTCGGCCCGGACTCCATCAGCCGCCCTGCCCCGCCATCCTGCCACCAACCCGAGGTCCCGCTACAGCCGTTCTTAATAGTCTGAACTTCCATCCCCATTCCCCCCACCGCGCCCAACACCTCCCGCCAAACTCTTCAGCGAGGAATATCCTTGGCTCAACGAAAACCCGCGAAGGGGAGGCCCAGGCAGCCCCGGAGCTGCGCCGTGCGGCGCTCAGCGCTCGGCCCCTCCCCCGCTGGGTCTCCCCTCCCCTTCCCCTTCCCGGGAACAGGCGCCTCCGGGGGGTCCCCAGGGCTGAGAGTGCGTGTCTCTTTAAGAGGCCCCGGGGGGCGCCTCGCGAGCCGCCCGGGGCTGGAGGGGGAGGGCGCGGGCGGGAGCGGCTGGCGCCAGGCGGCCGAGGCTCCACAACAAAGCTCCGGCCCCTGTCACTTCGCATCGGTCGAGCCCCGCAGACGGGCTGCCGTCCAGGGCCCGGGCGTCGGGCGGGCGCGGGCCTCTGGCCTCCGGCCTCCGGCCTCCGGCGCGATGCACGCGCTCCGGAGGCTCTGAGCTTCCCGCAACCCGGAAACCGGGCGGGGGCGGCCTGGGCCGGGTGTGGCCGCGGCCCTGAGCCTGGGCGGGCTGCCGTCGGTCCCTGGCCCCTAACCTTCCGCAGGGTCAGGGGCCACGGCGGGGGTCTTCCCTGGGTTGGTCCCGCCGGTGTCTCAGGCTGTGTCCCTGGGCGGGGATCGGCCTGGAGTGATGGCCTGAGGGGCACGGGCCTGCGGCAGAGGGGACACGCGTCCCCCCGGGGTAGCGGGGCGCTGGCCTGAGGCGGGTACTAAGTGCGCGGTGGTTTAGAGTGTGCCCGGGCTGAGTGCGGGTGACGCGCGGGGCCCTGCGCCTGTGACCCGCAATGGAGGTGCCAGGGGGCGCGTGCATCCTCGCCTTGGCTTGTGTGCGCAGGAAGGAGGGAAGAGGACAGCGTGGCCTCCCATCCCCGTCTCCCCGACCGGACCCGCGCCTTCCGGAGCCTTGGCGCCAGCCAGCCCCATTCAGTGGCCGGGCCTGGCTCCCCCGCAGTCCCGGGTCTGCCCGGGGTGGGGGCCGCGGCCTCGATGACCCTGGCCCGCAGCGGCCCGGCCTGTCCCGTCCACTTAGACAAATTGCGGCTGACAGGCGCGCAGTCTCTCTGGAGTCGCCGCCCGCCCGTCGCCTCCCTCCCGACCCAATTACCCCGCGCAGGGTCGGGCCAAGTGGCTGGGACGGGGCGGGGGGCGCGGGAGGCGCGACCTCTTCGCCGCCGGTCTTGAGCGAGGCCTGGCGGCGGGGCCCCTTCTTCCGGTCAGGTTCTGGGGGGTACCCGGGAACAGCACGGCCCCTGGGGTCCTGTCCCCAGGCTTCCAGGCTGGCGGGAGTCCCGGGCTGGCAGCTCTGGCCTGGGACAACCCGGCCCTCGAGGGTGGTCGCTCTGCACTTTCGAGGGCAAGCAAGGTCGCAGGGCCTCAAGACCCAGTGCGTGTCCCTGCCGGACTTTGGGCGACTTCCCCAGAGTTTGGGGGGACTCCATCATCCCGGGAGCTCCCGGGACTATTCTATGTGCTGGGGTCGAGGTCCTGGGGTCGCAGCGGTCCGCTTGGGACGCAGGGGTCGGTAAAAAAACGAGGTGCTCCTCTGTGGACCCGCACAGGTGTGAGTTCTCAGGTGTGGCTACCCGGGGTCGTGGCAGAGTGGACAGGCCACGCTGCTCTGTGGCTTGAGTGAGGGGGCAAAGCACATGAAGGACCCCCTCCCCCTCCCGCTCCCCAGGACCAGCCCACCTGCGAGAGACGGGCGGGGCTGGCCTGCGCGGGCTCACCAGGTCTTTCGTTTGCTTTCTGCAGAGACGCGCTTTGCCGGATTCCCTGGAGCAGCCTCGAGGTGTGTTCGTGACAGTCGGGTCCAGCGTGGCCTCACCCGCCCTTCCCTCTCCCTTCCAAAGAGACACCTGGCCTGTCCCATAAACCTCTAGGCCTCCAACCAACCTTTTGCTTTTTTGACCTGCAGCTTCCTCTTGGATCTTGGATTTTGTTGCTTGTCTCTGCTGGGTAGGCTCCTGTCGCCCCATTTTACAGATGAGCCCAGGGGGCAGTCATTTACCCGGGGCCACACAGCTACCGGTGGCAGAGCTGAGACGGGGCCCATGGACCTTAAAAGAGAGCAAGGCCACTCCTTAGCAAGTTAGTGATGTCGTTGCTGGCCCACTAGCTACACCTGCTCAGGGAACCAGGCAATACTGAGACTCCTGGGCCCCAACCCTCAGGCTGGGTTCTGGTTTCTCTGAATCCAAGACAGTCCAAGATGCTCTTCCCTTTTGCCCCTAGAGTTTCCAGCTCTAGGTCTGCAGGAGGGGGCTGCCTTCTCAGTGACACAGGTACACAGGAGCAGCTTCAAAGCCAGCCAGGGGCCAGGGCTGGACGCTCTTAGGGGTAGGGCGTGGGGGAGACGGGACCAGAGTCTTGGATTGTGTGGGGGCCCAGGACAGGGAGGTCGATGCAGAGCAGAGCCCCCTAAGGGAACCGGCCAGGGCATGTGAGGCAGCAGGGAGCAGACAGGGGTCAGCAGATTAGCTGTGTGACTTCTTAACCTGGGACAAGAGCTCAGGCTTCTCATCTGCCAAAATGAGGACCGAACAGTGCTCTCTGCGGCGCCTTCCAGTTTAGCGATTCTCTGATCTGTGAAAATCAGAAAAATCAGCAGCGAGCAACCATTTCCAGTCTCGGGCTGGCAGCTGCCTGCTCTGGCTGCGGCTTTGAGCTGACATTAGTGTTGGGCACAGGTTGGTGCCCCTGAATTTGCCATGGGGCCACCGGGTCACAGCTCTAGTCAATCCAGGGCCCTGCCTCCTTCAGCTGTCACCCCAGTTCCCATCAGCCTCCACGCAAATCATGAAGGTATTTTTTCCCTCCATCAAATTGGGAGAAAGTCCATAGTAATTTGCCTGTCGAGTGGGTAGCACTGTAAGAATCAGGGAGGTCACATGGCTTCCTCAAGGTCACCTGGTCAGGCCATAATTAGATGCATGTTCTCCTAGGTGATGCCATCCTGGGGAGGGAGGGGTGCGGGGGAGGGGAGCTGTTGGAGGTGAGGCAGAGATTGCCCTGGGAGTTATCTCTAGAGGATGGGAGGCTGGCTGCTCCGGGGCCAGTGGGCAGTAAGGTCCCCCACCCGGGGGCCCAGTCTCACTTCCAGCTGATTACAGGCTGTGGCAGGGTCTATAACCTCTCCAATTAGCCGGAGGCCAGACCCAAGGCCTCTCTGATAACCCCAGCTCCAGTGGCAGCCGCCATGGGGCCAGCTTATCTGGCCTCTCTTATCCTCCCCCCTTCCCCCACGTACTCCAAGAGTTGCCCTGGCTGCGAGCAGATGAATAACCAGATTGTCCTGCAAGCTCAGCCGGCAAGTCCAGCCCTACACCCACCACTTTCCCTGACCGAGGGAGGCCACAGCTGTTTTTTGCACCCCCTGGAGGGGACAGGCTGAGCCAGGAAGGACTCCTGACTCTAAGCTGCCAGTCAGTCCCGAGTGGTTGGGGAGCACTCCTGGCTCTCCATCTTTGCCCTGTTGTCTGTGTGCCTGAGGGTGGGTGCAGAGAGCTGGACCCTGCCTGGAGCTCTGGATGCATCCCCAAGGAGCCAGCCAGTAGGCACAGGCACTCTGGGGGCACCCCTCTCCCTCCCGGCCCCCTTTTGACTGAAACACGGCTCTGGAGGGGTGGGGCTGTGCTCAGCGGCGTGTGTGTGTCTGTGTGTCCAACTGGGCCAGAAAGGGGAAAGCTGCTGGTCGGTGTCAGCCCCCGCCGGCCCGGCCGGGCCTCCTTCTGTTCCGGGCATGTGATCCTCGCCCCGCAGGTTCCTGGGCAGGAGGGACTGGCTTCAGCCACCCTCTGCAGGGCTGGCCACTCAGCCTTTGGAGCAGAGTGTGGTTCGGGTCCTCTCTTCCCCCAGCACGCCCAGCTGGCTGGGCACTGAAGATTAAATCTGTCCTCGGGCGCCAGGGCTGGATGGGGTGCGTGTGAGCAGGGCCGGGCCCCGGGGCTGCCCTGCTCTGGCTGGACGGCAAGGCCTGCCTGTTTGTGAACTGACCTCTTCTGTGGCTGTTGCATTAAACTTCACCCCAAAGCACGCCTGGCTCAGTGGNCCCCCCCCCCCAGGCCTCTCCAGGGTCTCCGTGGAGGCAGGATGGGGACTTGCATCCATCCCCTTCCAGCTCAGCACCCCCTCTTTGCTCCCCCCCCCTCCCGCTCCTGTCTCCTTCCTGCCCTTCACCTTAGGTCCAGGACTGGGAGCGGGGAGGGGACCACATCTAGAACTTGTCATCTAAGGTTCCGACCATCCTTCACCTTCTGAGTTTGCAAAAAGAGGTACAGGACTTCCCTGATGGTCCAGAAGACTCCCAGTTTCCAATGCCAGGGGTGTGGGTTTGATCCCTGGTTGGTTTACTAAGATCCCACATGCCTCAGGGCGCAGTCAAAGAAAAATTTAAAACTTAAGAAAAAGATTCTTGAAAGAGGTAATGACAGGGAGCCTGTCCCAAAGAGAAGGCCAGAGTCTTCATCAGGCTCTCCTTCCCACGGCAACCCAGCAGCACGTTCCAGGGACCTGACCGCCATAGCCAGGGAGGCCCGGGGTGCCCTCCAAAACCCAACGGCTCTGGTGACAGGCAGGGAGGGCAGAGGATGGGTCTGTCAGACGCCACCCAAACTCCAGAGTAAACATCCTCCTCCTCCTTCCTCCCGGCTCCCTGACTCCCTCACACCTGCACTTGTCCAGGTGGGGGTGCTGGGAGCAAGGCCGTGCGGTCGGGCTCCCAGGACTCTGCTCCAGGCTGGGAGAGGACCCTGACCCCAGCCACTTAGGGATGGACACCAGTTGCAGCGTGATTTATTGAACAAGACGTGCACTTTTTGACAGGGCCTCAGAAACCACGGTTTCCTTCACTGAACAGTACAGGATCAGGGTACAAGGGCTTACAGACAAGAAAGACAAATCCTTTCCATGAGCCGAAGGGGAGAGAAAAGAGGAAGGGGGGCTTCTCTTTCCTTCCTCCTCCCCTAATACTCCGGGCCTCAGTTCAGCGCCAGCAGGAGGCTGGGCAGTGTGTGCCGAAGCCGGGGCTGGATCGGGGCTGGCCACTTGCGGCCGAGATGCCCGCCGAGCCATCTATCCTCCCCACCCTGGCCCCCACCCCCCAAGGGCTGGGTTCGAAAATACAAAAGCAGGTCCGACGCGGGACATCGTGTGCAAACAGAGGTGGGGACGGAGCTTCTGCAGAGTCTCGGCCACGGCCGGCCCCACAATGGAGGCAGAGGTCAGCGCGCGCCGAGGTGCTTTGGAGAAGGGTCTCTTCTCGATCCAGGGAAGCTGGGCGGCTGTCGTCACGAAGCTCGGGGAAGGCGGTGGGTTCAAAGAGGAGCGGAGTCTGAAGGGTAGGAGCGGACGGGGGGCGTCTCCCCCTCCCTCCGGCAGGAGAGTGGGCAGGCCAGCCTGAAGGCTGCTGGGACCTACGGGAAGCTGGTGGGGAAGAGGCTGAGGGGCTGGCTCTCGTTGGTGGGCAGCGGAGACCGGTAGCCGTCGAAGTTCCTCGGGATGCTGCCGCTGGTGGAGCCCGAGCTGTTACTCAGGGTCTCGATGCTTCCCTCTCGCTGGAGTTCTGCAAGACAGGAGGGAGGGCCCGACCGGGTCAGGGGGCGTTCTCGGGGGCAGGCGGGGGGGCATGCACTCTGGGCCGGCTGCCTGCCGTGAGGCACCACACTGGGTCCACTGACATCCTTCTGCAGTGGGGGCACGGGGTGGCAGCCTGGGTCCCAGGGGGAAGCCCCTGGGCTGGCAGGCTCCCGTCACTTCCTCACCGTGTGAACCCCTTTAGCCAGGAGCATGGCTGCCCTGATGATGCATCTGGACCACACTGCCATTCGCGGGGCGTGTGCCCAGGCCTGACGTGGGCTCGTGCTCGGCCAGCTTGCTTCCCAACTCCGTGAGAGGCTCCTGTCCTGGAGCTCCTGGTCTGGGAGGAGGGGAGACGCCGGGAGGCAGGAAGGACCGAGGCGTCCCTGTCTGGTCTGTCTGCCCCTCGCCTCCCCAACCAGGGACCCAGGCTCAGCCTCACTTGCTCACACATCCTCACCCACACTATCTGCCTGCCCGCCAGGCCCCTCCTGTGCCACCCCCCTGCAGGGGTGAGTGCCTTCTTTGAGAGGGGCCTATTTGCCTGGAGTGCCTCCCTTCCCCTTCCTCTGGGCTCCCAAGTGTCCTGGAGACCCCCTCCCGGAAGGGACGTGCTCAGGGTCCACCCGGGAGTCAGGTCAGGAGGCTCCCAGCCCTTCCCCTGGCATCTTGGAGATGGCACCTGGCTCCATTTCATTCCACTATGGGAGCCTTCCTCAACTGCCCTGCCATCTCTTGACCCAAGACAGGTACTGGGGTGGGTGGGCTGGCAACAGACCTCCTGGCATGCCGAGTGCAAGGCAGAAAGAATTACTTCTTGGCTTTCTGAGAGTGGTCAGTTCCTATCCCCTCTCCTACAGTGGGCTCTGAGATGTGGGCACACATAACCCTTGGCAAACTCTGGGTTCAAGCCAAGATGAGGTGCCTGCAGTTTCTCCTTCCCCAAGGTAAACTGCCTGGGATGGAGTGGGAGGGGGGGTCTCGCTTGTCTACCCCAGGAGCCCAGGCTCTCAAAGGGTCATTGAGACAGCAGGGTGTGCTCAAATGTGACACGGGTCTGGTCTCCTGTACCTGCAGCCTGCGCCCGTGCCCGGGGCCCCTGCCACCCTCCGCCTGCAGCACAGCTGGCTTTGGTTAGGGGATGGGTCACAGCCTTCACTCCTGGGCTGGCCATCACTGGCCAGACAGGAAGTGAGCACTGACCCCCACTCCCGTGGGTGACCCCGAAGCACGCTGGTGGCCCAGCAGCAGCAGCAGAAGCCACAGAATGGGTCGGGGGCGTCTGTGCTGGCCTCCTTCAGAGACGCCTCCTGGTTCCACGTGTGAGGTGTGAGGCACCAGCCGTGTCTGGGGCCCAGGCTGGAAGGGTGTGCCTGCAAACCAGAACCTCTCAGCAGGTGGGGGGCTGTGGGCGCGGGCTGCAGGCCTGGCGCCGGGCCCTGACTGCCAAGAGGCACTGGCTGCCCTGTGGGGCCCGACCCTGAGATTAAGTTGGGAGTCATCTAGATGCGCATGGAAAACCCAGACCCCCGCGTGGGCTCTCTCCTTCCCCACTCAGCCTCTAGCCTCCTCCTTATTTGGGGGCCGTTGTGCCAAGAGGGACAGGACAGGAAAGCAGGGAGCAGATCCCCAGGTTTTGACACAGAAGCTTCGCACTCCAGAAAAGCTCTCCCGTCCCCCTGGTTTCCCCTGAGCGCAGCCGAGAGGCCCTGGCCCCGGTGGGGCCGTCCCGGCGCTAGGGGGCGCCGACAGCAGGGCCGGGAGGAAGAGAGGCGGCGAGGCCCCAGCAGGGCGGCAGGGGCTGCCGGGCCTCCGGACTCCAGGCCCCGAAGAGAGCCCCGGACGAAGAAGCAGGAGAGGCAGCAGCCCGGGGCAGGCCCAGCGTTCCTGACGCAAAGTGCGGGCAGGTCCACACCGCCCCGGAAGCCGAGACGCGGGGAGCCTGGGACCAAGCGGGGGGACCCCCACTTCCTGCAGCCACACCCCAGCAGGGCAGGGACCCCGCGAGTCCGCACGGCCGCCCCGCACCCCATCCTGTGAGAGTGCGGGGACAGGTACCACAGGGATTTCAAGATGACTGGGTCTGCCGGGGCAACGGAGAGCCTGCGCTGTCTTGCTTGTGTTTTCTCTTCACCAGTGAGGCTGCGGGTGAGATGGAGATGGCCCCTGCCTCCCGGGTGACCAGGCTCCACTGGACTCATGTCCCGAGTGCTCCCCCGGACTCGTCCCTCCTCTCATTGCCCGTGGCTGCTGCCCACCCGGATAACTTCCAAAGGTCCCTACTGGTCTCCAGACCCTCAGAGCCCCCCTCTCCAAGCCACCGCATCCCAAAGCCAGAGCGTTCTGCCTGCAGCACAAACCACATCTTGCTTTTCCCCTGCTTAAAAGCTTCACCATCTCCTAAGGGTCCTGAGGGCAAGGTCTCTCGACTCCTCACCTCTATCAAACTGCCTTCCGTGACCTCTCTCCCGTGCTCCTCTCCAAGACCCCACCTCACTCAAGTGGATTTGAGGAATCCAGATAATGAGCTTGGGCAGTCTGGGGGCCTCGCAAGGCTGCTCCAGGCCTCTGGGTGTGTGCTCCTCTGGGGAAAAGCCCTTCGCAGGTTTGGCCCCCGGGACACCTACTTATCTTCGAACCTCAGCACGCGCGCAAGCCTGTGCTGTCGTCCTGGTAGAATGGCCAGGCCCCACCGCGCTCTGCCCGGGACCCCCTAGCACGCTGGGCACCGTCTGCTCACACGTGTCCCCATCCATGTGGGTGGGGTCCCTTGGAGGTCGGTTCTGTGTTTTATTCCCTAGTGCCAACCACAGGGCCTACAGAATAGTTGGGTGTTCAAAAAGCACTTCTTGAATGCATGGATGTATGAATAAATGAGTGCGGAGGGAAGCGGATGGGTCACTGCTATCTGCAGCTTGACTACCAGTGAAAGAACCCAGGGCCCGGTTGCTCCTGGGCCGTGGCCTACATGCCCCCGTCAAACCCCGTGCTCTTCTGCTCCCCAAGACAGGACTGTGTGAGTGTGCGGAAGCAGACGTGGCCGTGGCGGAGGGGTGCACACATGGCCCCCCCGCAGGTCACCCAGCCGCCCAGCCCTTCGGAGCAAGCGGCAAACCGAAGTGTGTGGCCTTACCTTCCTCCATCCCGAACACACGCTTTGTTACTGTTGGGTTGTTCGCGGGCGCTGGGCGGTTGGCATTGTTTTTTTTTTCCTTTTTTTTTCCCTTTTGAAAAGAAAAGCATTGAGGAACCTTTTGGGAAAAGATCCGGACAATGATGGAGAACACTGATGTCGGCAAACAGGAGGCGAGGGCACCAGGAGGTGTGGGCGCTCACGCCGGGAGGAGTAAGCTGGGAGCAGAGTTCTGCAGTGACATGCACGTGTGGGGGGCTGGGGACCAGTCTTGGGGGCCCTGGAGATGGAACTGTGGCAGAGCCGAGACCCCCTTCGTCAAGGGGAGGAGGAGAGGGTCCATCCCCGGAGCAGGAGGAGCAGCCGTGGGGAGGGGAGAGGCGGGCCGCTGGCCCATGCAGTGCCCGTGCAGGTGGGACCCAGGAGAGGACGAGAGAGAAAGCCTGTGGTTTCCAGGGATGCCTCCACGTGTTCGGACTCAGTGGTCCAGCTCGGGCTGCTGACCTCCTCCCCCAATTCCAAGACCCCCGGGTCTGAATGGCAGTCCTGCAGCTGCAGTGGACTTGCAAGGAAAGCCCACCAGAAACCTGCAAGGGAGAGTGAGCTGGGGGCTCTTTATGTGGGGGCCTGGCGGCCTCCCCACTCAACACAAGTATGTGGATTCTGGCTGGTGGGAAAGAGCCCGGTCTTATGGAGGCTGCTCTCCAGGCCTCTGAGATAACGGACTGCACTCAGAAGGAAAATCTTACTGTGACCTCACGTTCCCCAGCGCCTCTGTGTGCCTGGGAGGTGGGTGCTGGTCCCCCCATTTTGTAGGCAGCTAAACCAAAGAAGAGCAGGAAGCCGCTGGCTCTGGGTACAGAACCCCTCGAGAAAGAACTGGGCTGATGGAGACGTGACAACTCCAGGCATCAGTCTGACTGGTCCCAATGCCCTCCACTGGCTGTGTCCACCCGTTTGCTGCTGGCTCTTTTTGGAAAATGGGGCCTGCCACCCAAGCTGCCCCTCGAGGTCACGGGCCGGGACGGGGTAAGCCACAGGGCGTAAGGGGTGATGGACTGAGCAGCAACTCCAAAGGAGGAGCCTTAGCTCTCACGAAATAAGCAAAGGACCGAGAAAGCTCAGCTCTCAGGCCACCCTCACTCTATACGGAGCCTGGCAAATCTCAAAGGTCTTGGGAGGGCCAAAGAGGTGGCTGGCCTTGTCAGGGAGAAGCGACCCTGGTTCCCTGGGTGCGTATGCCAAGGGAGACCCAGGGGGAATAGAAGGAGGCGGGAGCCTGGCTGCCCGCAAACGCTGCCCCCGTCTTGGGGTGGGCCGTGCAGATGAGGGAGACCGTCTGCCCTGGCCCCTTGACTCTCAGCGGGAGACTGCGGCCCCCTCGGCAAAGGCAGGGGAAGCAGAGACCGGCTCCTGGGAGCTCTGGGTGGGTGCTGACGGCCAGGGCTGGCTCCACTGGGGAGAGGCAGAGGATGAGCCAGGAAGGGGACACACAGCCCCGGAGACGGTACGGGGGTGCGGGGCATGAGGAAGCCCCTCCCTCTGGAGTGCTGGTCCCTGAAGCTGCTTCACCCTGGAGGGCCTTCTCCCCGGGGTGCAGACCCTTCCCTCCCTCGAGGCCACTCTACGCCTGGCAAGGCAGGAACTTTGGGGGACACCCTGGATGCAGGTCTCTCAAAAGCAACGGTCACTTTCCTAAGTGCTGTGGTCTCGGCTCCCCCATCCCTGGGGAGGTGGTAGAACACTGAAGACGCAGGGCCTCTGTGGGTTTCAGGGAGAGCTGGGGCACCCAGGAGGGCAGGGGACCCCAGGGCGGGTCAGGAGAGAAGCACACCTTGGGCTTGGCCTTCGGG